CATACCCATATCTTGCAAAATCTGTCAGCAGACCGATCAATGTTTGTGAGAGTTTCCTTTCCGATTTATCTGGATCTGTTGAACTGATGGGGAAAACCTTTGCGAAAGCACCCAAGATGGCTTTGCTGAGACCAAAAGTGTAATAGAGGTCTTCGCCATCATCTATCCCCTTGCCCTGACCGCTCATAAAGGATGGGATGTGGTCAAACACATACATGTAGGTCTTCTTCCCCGTTTTCAAGCTGCTGGTCAGCTTTGAATGGGCCCTCGCAAAGAGCGTCCCTGGGGCAACCATTCCAGCATCACCAAGAGTGTCCATTACTGCCTGAAGAGTAACGGTATGGCTTTGAGAGGGGGCATACACCTTAACCACGGCCTGTGTCATGTCAGAAGAGGATGTTCCGAAATAAACCTGAAGAACCTCTGGGACGAAGATGTTCCTGTAGAATGTCTTGTTCTCAACTGATGAGGATAATGAGGAGTGGAACAGATAATCAGCTGCTTTTCAAAGTCTCTTGAACAGCCCATCTTCATTGCTTACCACCGACACCATGCAGTCCAGATTTTGGATACCTGCTTTAGATAACCTGGGGAGCTCATTAGTAACAACGGGTCGTCTTTGACAAATATCCCATCAATAGTAGGTACAAAATAGAACTCGGCTAATGCTGTGACGGGTTCATTTCCCATTGGCCATGATGATGCAGTCAACTTCTTGGCAGACACGGTCCTCAGACAGGCGACCATGGATACGGAATCGCTCTGGGAGGAACAGTTTACTTTTTGAGCCAGTTGTCGTGCATATTTCAGAGGGTTCCTTGTATAAGCCCATGAGGACGAGGCAGACCCGCTCTGCATGATTGTCCTCTGAAACAAACCCTTGGACCCTGAGTACAAGGCCTGGAATGCCACACTAGCGGATCCTGCTGATTGTCCCATGAGGGTAATGCTGTTGATGTCCCCGCCAAAAGATGCAATATTCTTCTTAACCCATTTCAGAGCAAGATGCTGGTCCCAGAGGCCATAGTTTCCCGCTGACACGTGGTCCTTTGTGCTGAGGAACCCAAGTGGCCCCAAGCGGTATTGGATGGTGACGACTATGACCTGTCCATGGGCAACTATCGATGAAGGATCATAGGAGAAAGCATCTCCTGAAACGAATCCCCCTCTATGTATCCAGACAAGTACAGGTATGTTACTGGTTTCCGTAATTGAGACTGGAGTGAATGCATTCAATGTTAAGCAATCCTCGTCCCCAGTGGCACCATATCCACCAAACGCCTTGAGAGTTTGGACGCAAGCTGGACCATAACTGTTGGCTTTAAAGATGTGATTAAACCCAGGATGTGGTTGTGGTCGCTTGAACCGTCCGCCCCCAGTAGGCGGAACTGCAAAGGGGATTCCTAAATATGCATGATAAGGTGTCCAGTCCTCGGTGACGTTCGTGGTCCCCTCAACTATACCCCAAGGGGTGTCGATGATGGGTTGAGCGTTGAGTTATTGCAAGGTAAACAACAAGGTGAAGACACCGATGAGAACCATTGTGTTGTTTTGAAGAACGAACATACTCTTAAAGTTTTAAAGCTTATTATTTTATGTAACAGTCACGTGTGTTGTTCAATCGCAATGGTAGTATAAATAGCTTTCAAGATACAAGATACCCTAGTTAACTCCTCTTTATCTGCAATGAAAAATCGGCCAGACAATTTCAACATTTGTGCATAAATGATAGCTTGGATTCAAACCACTTCGATGCCTGTTTATGTTATTTTCTTCACTCGAACTGCAAAGGCTATGCCCACTCGTCCCGAGAACTTATTAGAATCAACGCTGATTAGCTGATGAAGCACTTCGGACAAAACCCAGGAGAGGCACAACAGGAACAACTGCTTGCTAACAATTCTGACCACATGATCGCCTGAACAAGATTCGATTATTTTCACTCTATAAACATCCAGATAGTATTATCGCAAAGTGCGACATTAAACAAAAACAACCAAAATGTTCTTCGTTCTTAGCCCCGTTCCACAAGACCGCCTTAGCATCATGATTGTTCGACTCTGTTGTGAATATTTGTTAAAACATAGACGTCATGGTCATCTTGACACTTCTTTTTGACTTTGTGAAACATGATTTATGTGCCCAGTTCCATTCTAAGCCTCAATACTATAAGTATTACCTAGGGGGAAATTTAGACATTTCTCATGGAATAGGCCTCACGCCTGACTGCGAATTGATCATGTTAAAAGAAGTATGGTTTGCATGACTTCATTCTGAGTTGCTCGGACTGTCATTTGTCTAGAGCCAATCCACCCTTCAAAGAGGACCAGTGCTTCTTAGTAACTTCTTGTCCATAGTTGATTATGAACAGACTGGACTTCTGCCGAATGGTGCATAACACAACAATCTTACAAGTGAGGTTTGCATGACTTCATTCATTCTTAGTTGCTTGGATTTTTTAATTTGTCAAGAGCCAGTTCAGCCTTCAAAGAGGACCAATGCTTCTTCGTAATTCCTCATCCATAGTTGATTATGAACAGGCTGGAATACTGCCGAATGGTGCATCTCACAACAGTCTTACAAACAAAATATTTGCTCACTCTCTTTGTAACATATTAACACATTCAAGCTCAAATAATTCACCGCGTTCCAGAGATTGTTCTTGTAAACAATATTTGACACACCTACATATTAACACATTCAAGCTCAAATAATTCACCGCGTTCCAGAGATTGTTCTTGTAAACAATATTTGACACACCTACCCATGTCTTGAGAAATCTGTGAGCAGTCCCATCAATGTATGTGCCAGCTTCTTTTCGGATTGGTCTGGATCTGTTAAAGTGTTGGGGAACGCCTTTGCCATAGCAGCGAGGTAGGCTTTGCTGAGACCAAACGTGTACATGAGGTCTTCACCATGATCCATCCCCTTGCCATGACCAATGATGAAGGATGGGATGTGGTCAAACACATACATGTAGGTCTTCTTCCTTGTTTTCAAGCTGCTGGTCAGCTTTGCATGAGCCCTCGCAAAGAGCGTCGCCGGGGCAACCATTCCAGCATCACTAAGAGTGTTCATTACTGCCTGAAGAGTAACGCTATGACTTTGAGAGGGGGCATACACCTTAGCCACCGCCTGTGTCATGTCAGAAGAGGATGCTCCAAAATAAACCCGCAGCATCTCTGGGATGAAGCTGTTTCTGTAGAATCGATTGTTCTCAACTGATGAGGATAATGAGGAGTGGAACTGTTTATCAGCTGCTTTTGTAACTATTTGAATCCGTCCACCTTCACTGCTTACCACCGACACCATGCAGTCCAGATTTTGAAGTCCTACCTGCTTCAGGTAAGTTTGGGAGTTCATTAGCTTTAGCGGATCGTCTTTGACAAACACCCCATCAATAGTAGGTACAAAGTAGAACTCGGCTAATGCTGTGACGGGTTCATTTCCCATTGGCCATGATGCTGCAGTCAACTTCTTGGCAGACACGGTCCTCAGACAGGCGACCATGGATGCGGAATCGCTCTGGGAGGAACAGTTGACTTTTTGAGCCAGTTGTCTTGCATATTTCAGAGGGTTCCTTGTGTAAGCCCATGAGGACGAGGCAGACCCGCTCTGCATGATTGTCCTCTGAAACAAACCCTTGGACCCTGAGTACAAGGCCTGGAATGCCACACTAGCGGATCCTGCTGATTGTCCCATGAGGGTAATGCTGTTGATGTCCCCGCCAAAAGATGCAATGTTTTTCTTAACCCATTGCAGAGCAAGATGTTGGTCCCAGAGGCCATAGTTTCCCGCTGACACTTTGTCCATTGTGCTGAAGAACCCAAGTGGCCCCAAACGATATTGGATGGTCACCACTATCACCTGTCCATGGGCAACGATCGATGAAGGATTATAGGTGATAGCATTCCCAACGATAAATCCCCCTCCATGTATCCAGACAATTACAGGAATGCTCCTGGTTTCCGTAATTGAGGCTGGTGTGAAAACATTGAGTGTTAAGCAATCCTCGCTCCCAGTAACACTACTTCTGCCAATCAAGTTGAGAGACTGAAGGCACGCTGGACCATACTTGTAAGCTTTGAAGGTATGGTTAAACCCAGGATGTGGCTGTGGTTGCTTGAACCGTCTACTCCCAGTTGGCGGAACAGCGAAGGGGATTCCTAAGAATGCATGATAAGGGGTCCAGTCTTCTGTGACGTTTGTGATCCCCTCAACTACACCCCACGGGGCGTCGATGACAGGCAGGGCGTTAATGTGTTGCAAGGCGAACAGCAACGTGAAGACCCCGATGAGAACCATGGTGTTTGTTTAAGGAACGACCACACTCTCGGGTTATTTTATGTGCCAGTCACTCGCTCTGATTGTATAAATAGCTGAAGATAACCTCAACTTTATCTCCATTGTAACATGTACTAGACAGATTGGACAATTCACATGTTCACAAATTGAGTTGGGATTAAATTCTCTCTGATGGCAGTTTATGTACATTTTCCCAAACTGAGAATTGGAAAGGATTTTCTCGCTCGTACCGAGAACAAATAAACCTCAACGTTGATTGCTTGATCAGGCTGTTCATCTGAGGGGACCTCCTTACCTACGGAGGTCTCATCCTATCATGTTGAAGAAAGGTAGGGAATTGAAGGCATTTCACGTGAAATAGGCTTTATACCTGACTGCGAATAGATCATATTAAAAGAGATCGGGGTTACAGGACTTCATTTTGAGCTGCTTGGAGTTTTTAATTTGTCCGGGGCCAGTCAACCCTTCAAAGAGGACCAATGCTTCTTAGTAATTTCTGGTCCATAGTTGATTATGAACAGACAGTAATACTGACGAATGGTGCATCACACAACAGTCTTACAAACATTATATTTACTCACTCTCCTTGTAACATATCAACACATTCAAGCTCAAACAGTTCACCGCATTCCCGAGATTTTTCTTCTAAACAATATTTGAGATACCTACCCATGTCTTGCAAAATCTGTCAGCAGTCACATCATCATATGTGCAAGCTTCTTTTCGGATTGGTCTGGATCTGTTATTGTGTTGGGGAACGCCTTTGTCATAGCAGCGAGGTAGGCTTTGCTGAGACCAAACGTGTACATGAGGTCTTCACCATGATCCATCCCCTTGCCATGACCAATGATAAAGGATGGGATGTGGTCAAACACATACATGTAGGTCTTCTTCCCCGTTTTGGAGCTGCTGGTCAGCTTTGAATGAGCCCTGGCAAAGAGTGTCGCTGGTGCAACCATTCCAACATCACCAAGAGTGTTCATTCCTGCCTGAAGAGTAACAGTATGACTTTGAGAGGGGGCATACACCTTAGCCACGGCCTGTGTCATGTCAGAAGAGGATGTTCCGAAATATAGCTGTAGAATCGCTGGGATGAAGATGTTTCTGTAGAATCGATTGTTCTCAACTGATGAGGATAATGAGGAGTGGAACTGTTTATCAGCTGCTTTTGTAACTATTTGAATCAGTCCACCTTCATTGCTTACCACCGACACCATGCAGTCCAGATTTTGAAGTCCTACCTGCTTTAAATAACCTGGGGAGTTCATTAGCTTTAGCGGATCGTCCTTGACAAACACCCCATCAATAGTTGGTATAAAATAGAACTGGAATAATGCTGTGACGGGTTCATTTCCCATTGGCCATGATGCTGCAACCAACTTCTTGGCAGGAATACTCCTCAGACAGGTGAGCATTGATGCCGGGTCGCTCTGGGAGAAACAGTTAAGCTTATGAGCCAGTTGTCGAGCATATTTCAGAGGGTTCCTTGTGTGAGCCCATGAGAACGAGGCAGACCCGCTCTGCATGATTATCCTCTGAAACAAATCCTTGGACCCTGTGTACAAAGCCTGGAATGCCACACTAGCGGATCCTGCTGATTCTCCCATGAGGGTAATGCTGTTGATGTCCCCGCCAAAAGATGCAATATTCTTCTTAACCCATTGCAGAGCAAGATGTTGGTCCCAGAGGCCATAGTTTCCGGCTGACACTTTGTCCTTTGTGCTGAGGAACCCGAGCGGCCCCAAACGATATTGGATGGTCACCACTATTACCTGACCATGGGCAACGATCGATGAAGGATCAAAGGTGAAAGCATCCCCACCAATGAATCCCCCTCCATGTATCCAGACAATTACAGGTATGTTACTGGTTTCCGCAATTGAGGCTGGTGTGAATACATTCAGTGTTAATCAATCCTCCTTTCCAGTGACACCATATCCAACAGTCGTCTTGAGAGTTTGGGGGCATGCTGGACCATAACTGTTGGCTTTGAAGGTGTAGTTAAACCCAGGATGTGGTTGTGGTCGCTTGAACCGTTTGCTCCCTGTAGGTGGAACTGCAAAAGGGATTCCTAAAAATGCATGATAAGGTGTCCAGTCCTCGGTGACGTTCGTGGTCCCCTCAACTATACCCCAAGGGGTGTCGATGATGGGTTGAGCGTTGAGTTATTGCAAGGTAAACAACAAGGTGAAGACACCGATGAGAACCATTGTGTTGTTTTGAAGAACGAACATACTCTTAAAGTTTTAAAGCTTATTATTTTATGTAACAGTCACGTGTGTTGTGCAATCGCAATGGCAGTATAAATAGCTTTCATGCAAGATACCCTAGTTAACTCTTCCTTATCTGCAATGAAAAATCGACCAGACACTTTCAACATTAGAAATGTTCACAAATGATAGTCAGGATGGATTCAAGCCGCTTTGATGCCTGTTTATGTTATTTTCTTCACTCGAACTGCAAAGGCCCTGTCCGCTCGTCCCGAGAACTAATTAGACTAGGCGCTAATTAGCTGATGAAGCACTTCGGACAAACATCAGGAGAGGCACAACAGGAACAACTGCTTGCTAACAATTCTGACCACTTGATCGCCTGAACAAGATTCGATTATTTTCACTCTATAAACATTCAGATAGTATTATCGCAAAGTGCGACATTAAACAAAAACAACCAAAATGATCTTCGTTCTTAGCCCCGTTCCACAAGGCCGTCTTAGCGTCATGACTGTTCGACTCTGTTGTGAATATTTGTTAAAACATGGACGTCATGGTCATCCTGACACATCTTTTTGACTTTGTGAAACATAAGTTTTGTGCCCAGTTCCATTCTAAGCCTTAATGCTATAAGTATTACCTAGGGGATGGAGACATTTCTCATGGAATAGGCCTTACACCTGACTGCGAATTGATCATATCAAAAGAAGTGTGGTTTGCATGACTTCATTTTGAGTTGCTTGGAGTTTTTCATTTGTCCAGGGCTAGTCAACCCTTAATAGAGGCCAATGTTTCTTAGTAATTTCTGGTCCATAGTTGATTATGAACAGGCTGGAATACTGCCGAATGGTACATCACACAACAGTCTTACAAACAAAATATGTGCTGACTCTCTTTGTAACACATTAAATCTCAAATAGTTTGCCACATTCCCGAGATAGTTCTTGTAAACAATATTTGAGATACCTACCCATGTCTTGTGAAATCTGTGAGCAGTCCCATCACCGTATGTGCAAGCTCCTTGTCCGATTGGTCTGGATCAGTTATATTGCATGAGAACGCTTTTGCCATAGCAACCACGTATTCTTTGAAACCAAAAGTGTATACGAGGTCTTCACCATGATCCATCCCCTTGGTCAAACACATACATGTAGGTCTTCTTTCCCGTTTTCAAGCTTCTGCTCAGCTTTGCATGTGACCTCGCAAAGAGTGTCGCTGGGGCAACCATTCCAGCATCACCAAGAGGGTTCTTTCCTGCCTGAAGAGTAACGCTATGGCTTTGAGAGGGGGCATACACCTTCGCCACCGCCTGTGTCATGTCAGAAGAAGATGTTCAGAAATATAGCTGTAGAATCTCTGGGATGAAGGTGTTTCTGTAGAATCGATTGTTCTGAACTGATGAGGATAATGAGGAGTGGAACTGTTTATCAGCTGTTTTTGCAACTATTTGAATCAGCCCACCTTCACTGCAGTCCAAATTTTGAAGTCCTACCTGCTTTAAATAACCTGGGGAGTTCATTAGCGTCAGAGGATCGTCTTTGACAAACACCCCATCAATAGTTGGTACAAAATGAAATCGACTAATGCTGTGACGGGTTCATTGCCCATTGGCCATGATGCTGCAGTCAACTTCTTCGCAGACACGGTCCTCAGACAGGCGATCATGGATGCGGAATCGCCCTGGGAGGAGAAGTTCATTTTATGAGCCAGTTGTCGAGCATATTTCAAAGAGTTCCTTGTATAAGCCAGTGAAGACGATGCAGACCTGCTCTGCATGACTGTCCTCTGATCCTGCTGATTCTCCCATGAGGGTAATACTCTTGATGTCCCCGCCAAAAGATGCAATGGTTTTTTTAATCCATTGCAGAGCAAGATGTTGGTCCCAGAGGCCATAGTTTCCCGCTGACACATCGTCCTCTGTGCTGAGGAACCCAAGCAGCCCAAGCGATATTGGATGGTCACAACTATGACCTGTACAAGGGCAACGATCAGTGAAGAGTCATAAATGATAGCATCCCCTGCGACGAATCCCCCTCCATGTATCCAGAGTTAATTAGAACCAGTGGATCGTCTTTGACCAACACCCCATCAATAGTAGGTACAAAATAGAACTAGGCTAATGCTGTGACGGGTTCATTTCCCATTGGCCATGAGGCTGCAGTCAACCTCTTGGCAGACACGGTCCTCAGACAGGCGATCATGGATGCGGAATCGCTCTGGGAGGAACAGTTTACTTTATGAGCCAGTTGTCTTGCATATTTCAGAGAGTTCCTTGTGTGAGCCCACGAGGAAGAGGCAGACCCACTCTGCATGACTATCCTCTGGAACAAACCCAATTACGGATAATCTCATGGTGCTGTCGTTGCACAGCGGCCGGTAATCTGAAATTGCAGTCGTTGCACAGCTGCCGGTAATCTGAAGCTGCAGTCGTTGCACAACTGCCGATAATCTGAAGCTGCAGTCGTTGCACAGCTGCCGGTAATCTGAAGCTGCCGTCGTTGCACAACTGCCGGTAATCTGAAGCTGCAGTCGTTGCACAGCTGCCGATAATCTCATGTTGCAGTCGTTGACAACTGCCAATTATCTGAAGCTGCAGTCGTTGCACAGCTGCCGATAATCTCATGTTGCAGTCGTTTACAAGTACCCATTATCTGAAGCTGCAGTCGTTGCATAGCTGCCGATAATCTGATGTTGCGGCTTCTTCACGGTGTGATGGGAGAGGCATGTCGGCGGAACTGCGTAGGGGATTTCTAAGACTGCATCGCAGAATGTTCCAGCCACTTGGTGCAATTCACATTTTTACAAGAATGTTTCATAATCACACCTCTCTCTCTCTCTCTCTCTCTCTCTCTCTCTCTAAGGAGTTCTCTCTCTCTCTCTCTCTCATCTCTCTCTCTCTCTCTCTCTCTCTCTCTCGCTCTCTCTCTCTCTCTCTCTCTCTCTCATAGTGCCTTTTCTCTCTCTCCTTTCAGAGCCACGTAAAACCATATTCACTCACTTTCAGAATGTAGAATCCTCAAGTCGGGTAAACAAACCAAGGCTCTTGATAGAAGCTAATCTTGGTTCGAATCAAAGCCTAACGGTTCCTGGAATCTGAGGCAGAGAATACTGCGATGTATTAGGACAGCTGCCAACCGCGTTAAGCAAATCAGCCCTAGGGGAGTATTTATCAGCTGTATATTTTAAACGGCAACTTAATTTTGCACAATTTGTGAAATGACGTGTTCAGTAGATATCATCATTGATCCGAACTAACATATGGCTGTTCACAGAAATATTTTAACAACTATCACGAACATAAGTGCACAGATTGACACAACGCAACTCATGGAACAAATATTTTTAAACGGATATCAAACTTGATCGAGCAGCCTTGCGAAGCGTACGTAAAATACTGTTATAGGTTTTGGAAACATTTCATGGGTGTCTTTAATTATTCACCCCAAATTCAGATGGTTTCGTCTGTTGTGTAACGCCGCACTCAGTAATATGGTTTCAGTCTGTAAAAAATCGATCCGGACCAGAAATTCCAGTGGTTGCTGAAGACCAGGGCCTAAATTTTTGAAGCTAGATTTTTGAAGACAGTCGTAAGTACCATACATTAACATTTACTTACGACTATCTTATCGCTAAGAGAGATTCGAAAATCTAGGCCCAGTTCTAAACCGGACCTTCACCGGACTAACTCAACTCATATGAGCGCCGATGAGATCAGATATATGAACTGTTTACAATAATATCTGGTCCTGACGGCTTTTACATTTGTAACTCAATTACTCATTTAAATACAAATGAAATCCCACTTTTTTAATTCGAAAAGTCAGCATCTTGCAGTCGTTGCATGGCTAACCGACAATGTTAGGGTGGGGGTTCTTTGTCGTGTGATGCTGGTTCTGTGCAGCTTGAAGGAGACGCGGCAGTGTCTGCGTCCATAGGGTGACCCGGTCCTTGTAGGGCTTGGATCCGACGGACATTGTGGTATTCAGCAGTAGATAGTGTTCCCCTGGCTCCGAGAACTGAGGCCAACTCTGCTGCAGGCCATACTGCACAGCGTTGTTTGGATCACTGAAATGTAGGAACAGCCCTCAATAATTATCAACTCACCTAAAATATTTCACAACATTGAGGTGAGCTACATAACCTTTGCGTTATGTCACTTTTAATGACACAAGAGCCTGAAGTAAAAATTTCAAAAGTGAAACAAAATATGTAATTTTGATCATTAGGAACATTGCTTGGTCGCAACTAGTCAAGCATAAGGTAAGTACATATGGCCAAATGCAGTTGGTCAATGTACTGCAGCCAACGTTATCTATCAATAAGATCAGGACGAGAACATAGACTATGGATACTCGCTTTGGAACGACCTCAGAACTTCACTGACATTGCGAGAATTATACCGCTAGGTGCAACTCCAATAGAATCAAAGGAATGTCTATGCGAAACAGTTGCTCACGACATTATGAAACATGTTTTTATGTCATGCAAGTATAACCTAGTAGAAAGGGATTCCCTATTTCAAAGAATCTGTGACATCCTTGACAAAGACATTTTGCTAAAATGTGGATGGAAGACGATGACGTATTCCTGTCATTCCTCCTTGGAGGTATACCTGACCCCTGTAGAGATGGACTAGTATTGGATTGTAACACCTGGTCAGAACTGATCGTAATCATTACTTCCTCAGTTGGATGAGCATACTCCGGCAATGTTCATAAATACCTACAGATCTTTCACAATGGAACATTACTGTATAATTCAAGTACTAATAGACAATTTTCTGTACTGTTGTTTATCAGATAAATGTAATCTTCATTTTATGGAGGAAATAAAAAATATCTATCTATTTGCTATTTGTCAAATTAATCTTGGCTTTAACCAAATGAGCTTGAAATACAAACTATAATAGTGCAATGAATGTCTGCTGGGGATAGGTGCCTCACTCTGGGAGTCTGGGTTCAAATCGCGGATGGGACTCAACCTGACAAAACTATTAAAATCTGTACTTTAGTCAGAAAGTGTAATCCCAAATCCCAATCATATGGGAAAACAAGGCAATAGAAATACATTGTGTGTTGCGGAAAGTTTAGCGTATTCTGTAAGTGTAAGAAGTTTACTATATACATGTATTTCAATGTGCCCATCCCTTGCTGACTAACAACACATTTGCACTCTCATCCTACCTTACTGACAGAATCATACCAACAAAGCTCACCGCATTCCATACACATTTTTATGAAGATTATTTGGCGAACATACCCATGATGTCTTTCAGCAGTTCGAAACAATCAAACGATGGCTTTCTCCCATTCGACCCGTGAAGATCCGGGGTAGAATAGGTCTTCAACAACCCATGCTTGCCACAAAAGGCGACTATGCCTGTCGTAAGAGGCGACTAACGGGATCGGGTGGTCAGGCTCGCTGACTTGGTTGACACATGTCATCGGTTCCCAATTGCGCAGATCGATGCTCATGCTGTTGATCACTGGATTGTCTGGCCCAGACTCGATTATTTACAGACCGACGCCATATAGCTGGAATACTGCTGAGTCTAAACTTACTCACTCGGTCACTTTCTCCCATTCTGACACACTCAAACTAAACTCGTCCGTCCTAATTTTTACAACCATTCTTGTTAAAACGTTTTACCAACCATACCCATATCTTGCAAAATCTGTCAGCAGCCCAATCAATGTTTGTGAGAGCTTCCTTTCCGATTCATCTGGATCTGTTGAACTGATGGGGAAAACCTTTGCAAAAGCACCCAAGATGGCTTTGCTGAGACCAAAAGAGTAATAGAGGTCTTCGCCATGATCTATCCCCTTGCCATGACCGCTCATAAAGGATGGGATGTGGTCAAACACATACATGTGTTTTCAAGCTGCTGGTGAGATTTGAATGCGCCCTCGCAGAGAGCGTCCCTGGGACAACCATTCCAGCATCACCAAGAGTGTTCATTACTGCCTGAAGAGTAACAGTATGGCTTTGAGAGGGGGCATACACCTTAGCCACGGCCTGTGTCATGTCAGAAGAGCATGCTCCGAAATAAACCTGAAGAACCTCTGGGATGAAGATGTTCCTGTAGAATGTCTTGTTCTTAACTGATGAGGATAATGAAGATTGGAACAGATAATCAGCTGCTTTTGAAAGTCTCTTGAAGAGCTCACCTTTTTTGCTTACCACCGACACCATGCAGTCCAGATCTTGGATACCTGCTTTAGATAACCTGGGGAGCTCATTAGTAACAACGGGTAGTTTTTGACAAATATCCCATCAATAGTAGGTACAGAATAGAACTCGGCTAATGCTGTGACGGGTTCATTTCCCATTGGCCATGAGGCTGCAGCCAACCTCTTGGCAGACACGGTCCTCAGACAGGCGATCATGGATGCGGAATCGCTCTGGGAGGAACAGTTTACTTTATGACCCAGTTGTCGTGCATATTTCAGTGGGTTCCTTGTGTGAGCCAATGAGGACGAAACAGACACACTCTGCATGATTGTCCTTTGAAACAAATCCTTGGGACCATGAGTACAAGGCCTGGAATGCCACACTAGCGGATCCTGCTGATTGTCCCATGAGGGTAATGATGTCCCCGCCAAAAGATGCAATGTTTTTCTTGACCCATTGCAGAGCAAGATGCTGGTCCCAGAGGCCATAGTTTCCCGCTGACACGTGGTCCTCTGTGCTGAGGAACCCAAGCGGTCCCAAGCCGTATTGGATGGTGACGACTATGACATGTCTATGGGCAACTATCGATGAAGGGTCATAGGAGAAAGCATCTCCTGAAACGAATCCCCCCTCCATGTATCCAGACAATTACAGGTATGTTACTGGTTTCAGTAATTGAGGCTGGAGTGAATACATTCAGTGTTAAGCAATCCTCGTCCCCAGTGGCACCATATCCACCAAACGCCATGAGAGTTTGGACGCAAGCTGGACCATAACTGTTGGCTTTAAAGATGTGATTAAACCCAGGATGTGGCTGTGGTCGCTTGAACCGCCTGCCCCCAGTAGGCGGTACTGCGAAGGAGATTCCCAAAAAGCATGATAAGGTGTCCAGTCCTCGGTGACGTTCGTGGTCCCCTCAACTATACCCCAAGGGGTGTCGACGATGGGTTGAGCGTTGAGGTATTGCAAGGTAAACAACAAGGTGAAGACACCGATGAGAACCATTGTGTTATTTTTTAAGAACGACCATACTCTTGAAGCTTAAAAGCTTATTTTATGTAACAGTCACGTGTGTTGTTCAATCGCAATGGTAGTATAAATAGCTTTCAAGACACAAGATACCCCAGTTAACTCCTCTTTATCTACAATGAAAAATCGGCCAGACACTTTCAACATTTGTGCATAAATGATAGCTTGGATTCAAGCCACTTCGATGCCTGTTTATGTTATTTTCTTGACTCGAACTTCAAAGGCTATGCCCGCTCGTCCCGAGAACTTATTAGAATCAACGCTGATTAGCTGATGATGAGAGGCATAGTAGCTTGGTAACAAACTGGTTTTATACCGGGTAGTGAAAATACAAGATTGTTATATGATATAATGTTTGAAACAAAGAAACAAAACATTCCTGGTTTGCTGATTCTGATTGACTTTGAAAAAGCGTTTGACACT